TATTTTTTTAGTAAACTATTAGGTTAACAAATGACACAATTACATATGGATTCCAATGGAGTTGATTTTGACCCTTTTAAAGTCGAATCGATTTGTCTTCAACTTTGAAACAGATAAGATTTGTTATCATTGTGGTTAAAAAGTCTAAAATAAATGTCTTTTTATGTCAAATTTCTTGAATCTTGGAAAAGAAGAAAACCCTGAATATTAAGTTGGAATCTTTCACTTTCTTCCACAAACTTAAGTAGATATGACTTTCTAAAATTAAAAAGATCCATTTGTGACTTTGGACATCTATAAAAATTTTGTTATCATAAAAGTGAAAGAATATGAATGTTGAGTTTACTAGAATCTTAAAAAACAACCCCATAATCGAGTTGAAATCCATTACCCTTGACCACAAGTTAGAGTCATTTTTGACTTTTTTGAGTCAAATTTATTAATTTTTAACTACAATATCGATAAAACTTGTTTTCCTTATTAAGACAAAAAAAATGAAAAGTATGTTTTGATCACCAAAAACATTTGACCACAGAAAACTCAGTCCATCAAAAAAGATTGAATTTACAAAGTCAAAAATTGACTTTCACTAATAAAGTCATCTTTAACTATTCATACAGTGGATGCCTAAACTTCGACATTTAAACCAAATGTTCCAAACTTCCGGTGGTACCCGTTGGGACAAAATTAGGTACAAATTCAATTTACATTTCAAACAATAATTTTATTTTGCATTTCAAGATTCCTTTAAAACAACCACCTATATATAATATAATTTCTTGAATAAAAAAAGCATTTTAAGAAGATTTTCGTTTTTTTATTAACAGGTCTTCGTGATGACAGAGGATATTTAGTTGATCACTTGTATTCCTAAATTCAACATCATCTTCTTTGCCAGAACTAAGAAAAGTTTTAGCCACACACTATAGATTCACTCTTGGTCCTTATTTATTAGGTAATTGTAAAACAGCATGTGATGAACTGATAGAGTAGAAACATTGACGAAATAAACTTAATACATAAATGATACATGTAAAACAATCAGATTAAGGTAAAAAAAAATTGTGAATATAAAGTTATAACAAACCTTGATTGGCTATTCATATTTGTGCTCCTATTTGCACAGTTGATAGCAACCCCGAATTAACTAATGGACCTAAACACATATCAATGATTCCAAAGATCAAAATCTAACAACATAATTGAATCAAATTAAAAATGGTGACAAACCTGGTTGAAATATTCAACTTTTCAATAATACACAATGCCAAATGGGACATGTAGAAGACCTCCGATTTCCTACAAATAAAAAAAAGTTCAATAATGGAAGAATTGGATAAAATTCTTTTCAAACTCTCAATTTTGGATCAGACTGGTGTTAAATGAAGTTGATATGAGGGTTGTTGGGCAAAAGACATTGATAATAACCAAAAAAAAGCACTTTCCCATGTTTCCCGTCTTCAACATGTACATATCATGGACCAAGTAAGATATTGAAAGTTGAATCAATTAATCCAAAAATTGATATCAAAAAAACTAAGGTGCTGTTTGTTTTTTTGGAAAAAACCTCTTCAAACCTCTTACTGTTGCGCGGCGCAGCACATGCGCAACACTTTTCATCTCGCAGCTGTTTGTTTTTTAGAAGTCTTTTGAGTCAAAAACATCTGCGCAAGCTCTGTTTGGCGCAGCACTTGTACTGCCTCTTCTAACCTCTTCCAACCTCTTCTTCTTCTTCTTTTATTGCTGAAATTTTGATTATATGTTATTAAAATTTTATTTCACATTTTTTTTCTGTTTTTTTTTCGTTTATTCTTATTGAATTTATTTTTCATTTTTTAAATTCAATAATGATAATTTCTTGATGAAATATCATTATTTTTAACTAAAATATCTTTATTTTTTGTTGAAATATCATTCTTTTTTACTGAAATATCATTAACTTTTACCGAAATGTTATACATTATTAAATTTTACGTATTTAAAAACTATTTTCGGTTTATAAAATTAGTTTATTTTAAATTTTTAATATTTGAAGCAGTATGCAGATGTTAAAAAAACAAACACGCTTCTTATTATAGTCTGCAGCCGTTTGATCCACCTCTTCTACTGCAGAGGTGGTCCGCAGACTTCATGAATTTTTGTTTCAGAAAATCAAACAACACCTAAGTGAAAGAGGTAATCAACTGAGTACATGAGTGATGATTAAGGAGAACAAATAAATCCATTGAAAAAATGAAAAATTATATTAGCAGTTTTGTCGATATTTCATCTATGTCTTCATGGCACGTCAATGACTGAGTTAAGTAGTCAGATCATTTCCCCTTTTCTTCTTCACACAGGAATCGGAGTCCTCTTTCCTGTTGATCTCCTCCAATATCTTGTAGGTAGCCCTTATTCAGTCCACGAGAATACATAATAGATTGCAATTCTTTAGATTAGATTGAGTAAAATTGGGGATTCCTTAGTGGTCTTCCCTCTCGTAGCGGTGGTTAACGGAAGAGGGCAGAGAAAGATATGGAACATCTCTAGGTTTGAAACATTGTGAATAGAGAAAGCAACGGTGGTAGTATGGATATGAAGCGGTGGAGACGACATAAAAATCTTATTAATTTTATCACAAATAGAAACCAAAATTAACCACGAAGAACCAAAATCATCAGCACAATATTAATCGCTCTAACAAATTCCTAATTGTAAACTTGGAAAAATTGTGTACAAAATCAACAAAAAAAAAATCGAGGTCGAAATCATACCTTGGCTCGATCTTTTATCTTCTGCCTAACCCAACGATGATTTTCATTACTCATATATGACAATTGAATAATGAAGACGCGAAGTATTAAAGGTTACCTGAAAGGAAAGGTACAAACATCTAAAGCTTTCAATTAGAGCTTAAAACTGAATCCAAAGTTTAAAACGACCTCAATCGCTACAAAGTTTGATAGAATGTTAACTTGCAATTAGAAACATAAGGAATTACCTTAAGGATTAAAAAAAAAAACTAGAAGATATTTTTTCAATTTTTCACAACGGCTGTTTCCATAATGTTGGATATCTGGTGCGAAGATAATAGAGTTAGCAATTTCTGTGGCATCCTGAAGGCAGCAGCGACGGGGATGATAGTGGTTGAAGCTGGCGGAGGTCGGCGATGCAGATGGGTGTCGTTACCGGAAGGGTGGGGCGGTGCTGGAGGCTCCAATGAAAAATCGACTCTTTGAAGGAACGATGGAAGGAGAAAGGGTACGAATGGCAAGACGCCTCCAATCCATCCAGCCAATTCAAAACTGGAGTGAAGCAGAGGGATAAGATAAAGAAGCAGAAGGTAGAGGATGGTGGAGCTAATGGTGGTGACACCACTGACCTGGTTTATAAACCCGACAAGAGGCGATGGAGGAGATTGGTTGATGTTGTTGCATTAAAGAGTGGAAAAGAAGTACAACAATCGAATTGTTATTGGCTAGGAAATCGGTGAAGAGAATAAGTGAGAAACACGTGTCGATAATGCTTCTAGAAAATGACAAAAACTGCCCAGAAAAGAAATGCAAAGCAACAAAGGCAAAATATGAAAACCCATTATAATTGAAGAACCATTTTTGCCAAACAATACCCCACTTCACTATTCATAAGCTTCACTTCTTTAATATATATATATATATATATATATATATATATATATATATATATATATATATATATATAATACTCTCTAATAAATGAAGGTTTTCTTGTTACATATCAACATCTACTGAGTTTTGACACTTGTCATTTTGTAATATTTTTTAAATAAATAATATCCACATGTCAATTTATGATTTTTTTTTTAATTTTTAAAATTAAAAAGTCATATAATCTTATACTTATATATGTAAAGTATCAAATGTAAAACATATTATAATAAATTGCAATTAATATGTTTCTTCATTCCTTATTTTAAAATTTTATTTTAAAAAATACTTATTATTTACATTTTAATATATTTTTTTTAATCAACTCGTATAATATACGAGTTTTACACCTAGTCCTCTCTAATAAATAAATGTTTTTTTTATCACATGTCACTTTGTTATGAATTATGACAGTTGATATTTTTTAGTGTTTTTGAATTTAATAAATCCACATGTCATTTTCTTGTATTTATCAATTTTATTTAAAAATGCCATCTAATTATGTATTTATGAGGATTTAAAAATACACGTTTCTTCCAAATTTCAATTCTTATATTTAAGGCAATTTAACTCAAATTTTCATTTATTTTTCTTATTCGATATTATTAGCTTAAAATTATGTTACTATTTGGCATTCAAATTCACATACATTCCAGTTTTTCAAAAACTTTTTTGTGTATCTATATATGTTATACGGATTTAAAATTATGCTACTAACATACTTTTTTATATACTTTTACTAAGACTTTTTGTTCTTCGTTTTCTTATTTTCCAAATAAAATTTATTTAAACATATTTTCAAGAATAATAAAATAATAGAAGTTATTAGCAAACTAAATTATTTTATTATAAATATTTTAAATAAAACATTGGTGTTACTATGCATGAGAATAATTTTTTATATTAAAATTTATATTTTATAGTACGACATAATGATTTTATCATTAATCTTGAGTTAAAACATACTGTTGAGGTTTTAATATTTACACTTTGATATTTAACTTTTTTTTTAATCAACCCGTATAGTATACCGGTATCACACCTAGTAATAATAATAATAATAATAATTTTGATTGCAGAAAAGTCATAATATTTTTGTTTACAGAAAAATCTTAATATTTTGAATTAGTTAGGAAAAAATCTCAAATTAATTTGATATCGGTTCCAACAAATAAAAAAAAATCAAAATACAAATTTTTACCGTCTAAAAATATTAGAAATTTTATGAAGATTTCTTATTTATTTATGTTTTAAGAGAAAATTCACACTACGAATACACAATCAGCGAGAGTGCACGCATGAATCGTCGCTGTCGGTGTTAGACTTCCTCTCCGATCAATCGTCGTAAATGCTACACTCGTCCGTTTCTGGATTTCCAGAGCAAAACGACTCAAGAGGATCTTCTTCATGCTCCAACTTCACTCTGAGATGAGCTTTCGCCTGACTAATCTCTTCTACCTCGTCCCACGCCACTTTACATTCATCGGAGCCTTCATGGCCAGCGCACACCTCCTTCGCTTCCGTCACCTTGTTCTCAATCATCTCCGTCAGCTTCATCTCTCTATCATGCGTCCCCTTAAACCTTGCTCCTCCACCCATCGCTACCACCGTCGACACCGCTGCCAATTGCATCTTCTGACCAGAAAAATAGAAAGAAGGATCAGCCAATTTGTGGACAAATAACGAAGATCTGACATTATTTACGTCTGTGATTGATCCAACGAACGAAGTACTAAAAGTTGCCATGACTTAAATAGAGACGATTAAGAGTATGTTAGATTCAGTACTAACCTAAGTAGATGTATATATGTATATATTATTGTCATTGATATCTTCATTCTTCGTTGTTTTCGAGATCGGAAGAAACGGAGATTTTGTTTCTTGTGATGCTACGAATATTTATCTATTATAACAGAATTACTTGTAGATACGCCCAAGAGAGATTATATTTTTAGCGAATAATTTTCTAACACTTCACATATATCTATTGCTACTGTTACTATGTAAACAAATTGAACGCAGATTATAAACTTTCATTGTTCATGATGATCAACTTAATTGTCTTACTTTTTAGGTTATGTATCAACAAGACCTTATGAAAGAATTCCAATTTGTTTCAGTAATTTAAGATCGATCCAATTTTATATAAACCCTAAATAACAAATTTGTGGATCCTAATTAACAAATTTGATCCTAATTTGTTCTCATCCTAATCAATGCATGATTGCATGATGTGATGGTGGGAGAGTATGAGAATCATTTTGTGGGGATCCATAACTTTATTCAAAGACAAGCTAACACGAAATGGTACTCTTTACATTGTACTATATGCATTAAATTATTATTATACCTTTTATGTGGTTGTTGTTCTTCCATGGTGAACTTGTTATCAGAATTCAGAAGTGGCCTCTGTGTTTGTTAACAGATATAGGATTACATGACTCCAGCGTACAGTTGCAGAAAATGGTACTTTAGGAGCTATCAAGTATTGTAGCTGTTTAGAATAAGAAAAATGTTCTACTGGTGGATTGTTTCAGTGGTGGTCTGTTTAGATCGATCACTAGCACTTTGTAGGATACACTCATTAGTGCTTTCCTGGTATTAATATGTCATAGTGAACTACTCGATTTATTTAGAAAATGCAGAACATGATAAAATGATGCGAATTCTTGGTCTGTGACTCTGTCAGCAACTTTGTTTCCAGTTTTGGTCCCATTGAGACATGCACGCCTGATTACTCCACTTTTTGTCCTGGTGTGTTGGTATCGAATAATTGAGTTGTCAAGGCAATGCATCATACAATATGCCCACTCTTTCTTAACTACGCCTACGCTTTATTGAAACAAAGAGTATTTATTGCATTGGATGCTTGAATTTATTATTTTTACTCTACCTTTATAACCAACAATTTATTCACCTTTTACAGAAGAAAGGAGCGTGCTTGTGCTTTTGCTTTTCCTTTTCCTTCTTTTCTTTTTCTCAGTGATTCTTCTTTCCTTGAGGTTTAGATGCTCTCTCTTCACTATCATGTTCTTCTATTATGATTTCCTTTTTTTTTTTTATTAATTTAACATTGGATATATTTGTTCTCCACATTTCTAATTCTAACTTGTTAATCTTTTGTATAACCAGCAAATCTTTGATTGAATTAGAAAGATCTGAATTGCCTTTATCATGTTTCTATGGAAATGATTCTTTATCTCTTTGAAATTGTTTATTCTTGAAATTTAAAGCTTCCACTTTCTAATGGAAAAGCTAAAGCTAAAATAATTGTCCTCTGCTTTTTTTCCCATATAGGAAAAGTCAAGAAGTTCATGAAATAGAAACTGGTCTCTACCAAAGCTTCAAGCTTTACCTTCATCAATGGCATAGTCACTTCCATCCTCCACTTCTTCCAAGGTAACCAACTATTTCTTCCCTCTTTATCTCAATTTTATTGCTTTAATCTTCTAGTTTACGTGCAATTCAGTATGCACTTGTTACAAATTGTCATTAATGACAGAAGTAAGCCTTCGTTTTGCATAATTTCATTTGCTAGTAATATTTACTCTTATTTCCAAATTCCTTTCATATTTATGTAGGTTGACATACATACACATCCACAATGAAAAAACTCCAATTTCTAGCGGTTGCCACCATTATCTTCCTACTTCATAATCTTCATGAAACAACCGCTGACATCAGCAGTGACGCCCAGTCTCTTCTTCAATTCGCTTCATCGGTCCCACACGTAAGACAACTAAACTGGAATTCCACAATCCCAATATGCAAAGATTGGGTTGGAATCACTTGTAACAATGAGGGAACTAAAGTCATTGCCATTCATCTACCGGGTCATGGACTATTCGGTCCAATTCCGCCCAATACCATCGGAAAGCTGGATTCCCTCAGAATCTTGAGCCTAAGATCCAATTTCCTAAACGGGTCTCTCCCTTCTGATATCATCTCCATTCCCTCCCTCCAGTTTCTCTACCTTGAAAACAACAACTTTTCTGGTGAAATCCCTCTTAGTGTTTCTCCCCAAATCACCAATTTAGATCTCTCCTTCAATTCCTTCACTGGAAACATCCCGGAAACACTAAAAAACCTCACCCGTCTCACCTCCCTCAACCTCCAATTCAACTCCTTCTCGGGACCCGTTCCCGACCTCAACATCACCCGACTCCGTCTCTTAAACGTGAGCCATAACCAACTCAACGGTTCAATCCCGTCTTCCCTCCAAACTTTCCCGCTTTCTTCATTTTCCGGGAACGAACTCTTATGTGGGCCCCCGTTGAATCCATGCCCGGTCCCGCCCCCATCCATGGCCTTACGCCCGAAAAAACACACCAAAAAACTCACAACCGGTGCAATCCTAGCCATTGCTATCGGATCCTTTTTACTCATCCTTCTACTTGGAATCCTCTTGTTTTGTTTCTTGAAGAAGAAGAAAGACCGGGATTCGGTTGGTGAACTGACGATAAAGGCCGTCCCTCCCGGGAAAAACGAAAAATCGGATGATTTCGGGAGTGGGGTGCAAGCTGGAGAGAAGAACAAGTTGGTGTTTTTTGAAGGGAGTAATTATAACTTTGATCTTGAGGATTTGTTGAGGGCATCAGCTGAGGTACTTGGGAAGGGTAGTTATGGAACTGCGTATAAGGCTATTCTGGATGAGGGAACAATAGTTGTGGTAAAACGAGTGAGAGAAGTTGGTGTTGCTAAAAAAGAGTTTGATCAGCATATGGAGTTTGTAGGGAGGGTGGGGAGGCATCCGAATATTGTCCCCTTATGTGCTTACTACTATTCTAAGGACGAGAAGCTTCTTGTGTATGAGTATATGGTAACTGGTAGCCTATCTTCACTGTTACATGGTACGAAAGGAAAAAAAAAAAAAAAGCAATGTAATTTTGATTTATTTGTGTATAAATTATAATGGAATATTAATTTTTAATTTCAAAACAGGAAATCGAGGTATAGGAAGAACTCCATTAGATTGGGAGACGAGAGTGAAGATATCACTCGGAGCTGCAAAAGGGATCTCACATATCCATTCAGAAGGAGGTGCAAAATTCACTCACGGAAACATCAAATCTTCCAACATCCTTCTCACCACAGACTTCGACGGCTGCGTATCAGATCTCGGTTTAGCTCCGTTAATCAACGTCCTCCCCACAAAACCTCGTTGCATCGGGTATTGTGCGCCGGAGGTGATAGAAACACGGAAATTCACCCATAAATCCGATGTTTACAGCTTCGGAGTCCTGCTTCTGGAGCTTTTAACCGGTAAATCGCCGCTGCCGTCGGGGCATGAGGAGGTGGTTGATCTACCGAGATGGGTGAGATCGGTGGTTCGAGAAGAATGGACGGCGGAGGTGTTTGATGAGGAGCTAATGAGGTACCCACATGTTGAAGAAGAGATGGTGCAGATGCTTCAGATTGGGCTCGCTTGTGTGACTAGGGTTCCGGATAATAGACCTTCGATGGAGGAAGTTGTTAAGATGATTGTCGATTTACGATCGTCGGATTCATCGGAGCATCGGGGTTCTTCCGAGGATAACAGATCTAAAGGATCTAACGTCCAAACGCCATGAATTCAAAAGCGTAGACCGCAGTCACAGTGTGCAAATGGTTGTGTTACTGATAAATAGTTTCAATTTTGTGTCGATTTCCAATTTGGGGTTTTATCATATTCTTCCTTGTATAATTGTTCCTGGTCTTATTTGGTTACAAATTACAATCGCAAACCTAATAATCCAAATATCCATTAGGCGATACATAAAATACTTAAAAAAATATATATTTTTTTTGGACCCATCACGTCTAAAAGATTAATGTAAAGCTTAACGATACAAATGATAATATACCTTTATATGATTTATCATTAAATTTTGTTTAGTTTTTCCAAAATTAAAATTGTGATAGAATGTTATAGGTTATATCGGTTGTCTTATTTATTTAAAAAGATGATTAAATTTTAATTACATGGATAAGATAAATGACTTAAGATTGTAATATATTATGTTTTGTATACATATTTAATCATTAAATTATTTTTTGTATTATGTTTCGTATACATATTTAATCATTAAATTATTTTTTATATGTCCCTTTGTTATTGTCATCCTTTCTTTCTAACTTCTAGTTAGTTTTTTAATAAAAAAAAATTATTTTGTATATGATTTATTATTAAACTATTTTCAATCGTTCAAAAACTACCATTATTACGAAATTAAAACGATTGTGTATATATTTAGTCAATTAACAACTCTTTATATGATTTACCATTAAATTTTTTTCAACTGTTCAAAAACTACAATTATTACCAAAAGTAAAACCATTGCCTACATATTTAGTAATTAAACTATTTTTTATATGATTTACCATTAAGTGGTATTTTATTTGCATAAGAAATGCATCTAAAACGAATATAAATGCACAATTATATATGAGAGTCATTTGAGTCGTGCATATTCCGTTTTACTATTCACATATGATACCCGGTTATAATTTAGTTTTTGAATATCTGAAAAGATTTATGATAAATCGTATAAAAAGTAGTTCATTAACATCGTATTTTCACAAAATCACCACCAATCGAACTCTCACATCGATGCAATAAGTAACACCCTTGTCCCGTCTTCTCCCCACCTCGTTATTTTCTCCACCCTTTCGTATCATGTCTTCTTGAGTCTTTAGAGTTAGTCAAAATGGAGTCAAATAGTGAGTCCTGAAGCTTCCAATAGTATTTTGAAATTCCAGGCGTCTGATTGTGACGATGGAAGTCTGATGAGATGCTACAAGTGTTTGATTGGCGGTGGTTTGTTGCACCCTTATCAGTTGGTCTAGTGGTGGTGCTGGTTTTGAAAACGGGTGGCCATAAGTGATTAAAAAAGGGGGCGAAGGTGGCAGCGTGGGGTGGTCGTTAAAGGTATATCCGACGTTTGTTCGGGGTTTTGTCTCCACATCGAGGGGACCAATAGAGGTGGTGCATGGTGGTTAATGAAAAAGGAAGGGGAATCGGGAGCTGGGGTTTTGATCGGACCTTATGCGGGTTCGATTGATGGTAGTTCCTTAAAAATTTGATATCAGGAATTCAAAGGATAAAATTAAAAGTTTTAGTGAACAAAACTCTATAAGTTGATTGTTAAAAATTTATTGGACATAAGAAAATTTGGTTTCAATCATTGATGTAGTTCAAAGGATGAACTTAACAATTTCTCGAAAATTTAAAAAAAAATAAAAAAAAATCCTTTATAAGTTAATTATGTCCCACAATTACAAACTTTAATAACCAACGATCAAGAAGGTGCTCAAAGGATTGCACATTTTCATTCCATAAATAACTTTTAAAATTATATATAACGTTACTATATCATAAAACAAAATATGAAACTTATCATTAGGGTTGGTACGTTGATTTTGATGGCTGTGTGCATAAAAAAAATAAATAAATAAATAGGCCCTGAAAATTTTGAATTAGCAATAGATAGATTAGTGACGAGACTTACATATTAGCGATGGATTAGTGACATAGTAACGTGGGATTAGTGACAAAATCACGACGAATTAAAATTATGTCCCCTAGACAGCATGGGTCATGTGCGATCATACATTCCACATGTGTTTCGAGCCAACCCTGCTTATCAATAAACATACATTATAACGTCCCAAATTTTAGAATAAAAAATTTCATTTTTAAAATAGAATAAACACTCGTTTTTATGAAATTACATTGAGTCAAACCATTTGTTAATAATCATAATTCAAAATTAGAGTTATAAGGAAAACAATGTAGAATCTCGAATCACAAAACTGATGATTTGCGTGTGTACAGTTATAAGGCTTAGTGAATTCCCCAAAAGTATCTCACACAACAAACCATATACAATGCATTAATATTAGGCCTACAACACAAGACTAATATTGGGCCTACAACATAAGACTGGACCGCCCCTAGGCCTACAACACAAGACTGGACCCCCCCCCCAATCGAGCCTAACATAAAGTTAGACCACTCCTGAGCCTGCAACATAAAGCTGGACCATTCCCGGGTATCTTGGCCTATAGCACAAAGCAGGACAGCCTCAACCCAACCGCACTATATTGACATATGCAAACAATAATCAATAACCAACAAGTACATGTAATCATGCATATCTGTCAATCTAACATATCACTATAGCATAACAACATCCTATATACAAAAAAGTATAACACGGTCTAGTGGGTCATCATTGGTGCCTTTGACCTACGAGTACAGTGAGGAAACTTACCTGGAAATCAAGTAGATAATACAATAGCTCCCTCCCGAGATCAAAGCCTGTAGGAACTTAACTTCAAACTAAATTCCAAACTCACAAGTTGATTAAAAGTCAACTAAGTCATAAAGTCAACGAGTCAAGCCCCGTGGTCAACGGTAAAGTCAACAACTCCAAAAACCCTAAACAGCGAGTCACCACATCATGGCCATCCATCGGCTGTGACGTGGCAACTAAAGGGAAAAATAGTCGAGTCCTTACCCAGTCGCCGTGCCATGGGGACTTGTCTGAACAACTTAACATATTAAGTTGTTTTCCAATAATTCCAAGAGCTCCAAAGCTCAGATATGGTCCTTCCCATTTTCTTGATGGATAAAGTTTCCAACTTTATCTATTTATACATATCAATAAGTCAAGATCTCAAACCCTAAGTCCTTAAAGTCACCTCAAGTCATGCAAACATCCATTAAGCACTTAATCATTGGAGTTACTCCTCCAAAGTTTCCAAAAGGGTTTCCTACACCTAATGGACCATAAAAATCGTAGCTTTATGAACATGCATGTCCAATTCCGTTCCATTTTAAGTAAAAAACATGGCAAATATGCACTGAAAGCTTGTACATGGGACAAAAACTCCAAGGGTCCTCAGATCTGGAACATATAACACTAATATGACCACAAGGATCCATAAAGTTGCCAACTTTATGGAATCCAACCTTCTGAAATTCCAAACCATGAAGATTAAGGGACCAAAATCCTAGATCTAGAAGCAAGTAACAAAAATATTGGATCTGGGACACTTACAAAGGTCCAAAGAATGCAAAAAAGAGAAATATGATGAGGCTTGCTTGCTAAATCCTCACTCTAAAGTATTTTCTTATTCTTCTCCAAGATATCAAGAGCACCAAAAGGACCAAGTGTCACCAAGACAGTCTAGGGTTAGAGTTTTTGAGGTTAGAGGATGATGGAGGCTAACGATGAGCAAACCATAGCCCATATTTTCCTTTATATAGGCCATAAAATCCGAAACATTAGGGTTTTAATCGTCAGACGGTCGCCATGTCGTGGCCATTCCATTGACACGCTGTGGGGGCCAAAACATATCTACAGTTCATTAATCATTGCCACGTCATGGTGGTGCTTCCACTACACTGTAGCCCTTGAAGAACATAAATAATTGTAAATAACAAGTACCTCAAGATCCGGATGCTAAATACATAAAAAGGAACTTACGAGAATCTGATAAAACTACTAATGGTGGAATTGGAATCTAATAATTTATCAATGAATCCATGACTCTTTTATGTGCTACTATGTTGTGTAACACATCAAGAAATTTCATACGCTTGTGAAAATCTCATTGTTAATTTAATATTCATGTCACATGGAAGGAGAATATAAAAGGATACAAGAATTTTTTTTAATTATGTTTTGGTATGTAGTCACTAGGAAGTCTTGAATCTGTTTTCAAACCTGAAATCTGATAACCACAACCCAATCCATCCAAATTTGGGTTGATCAGTTTTTTTAGGTATCCGTTAATTTAAACAGGCCTAACTAGAAGTTTATGGTTTGTATAAAGATGATTGTTTTTTTTTAGTTTGCAAACATTTTTTTATTATCTAAAACAAAACAAATCGACAAAAACAAATCAAAACGAGGGCATACTTAAAAGCAAAGAGTTAGAATGTCTACAAACTTGAAAAGTTATGTTTTATATCATCTACTAAAACATGACACCAATGTTTTTAAGTCTTCTGTTTAAAAAAAAAAAACAATATTTTTCAAATAAGAAAAAGAAAAAAAAATATAAACGGCACCATATGAGTGGTTCATCAACCTACCCCAAAAACCATTTTGGAGGTTAATTACGGAACATTAAGAATATTGTTGGTGTGACATGGTTTGCACTGTGAACCTCCTTGGTGGAATTCAACTCCTCAACCACTAGACTCTCATTGTAAATTCTAATCATTTTTCACATATGTTTGTCCTTCCAGACATAAATGATGAAATAAATATTAACTAGAAGGTGATCCATGCGTCGATGCGGTTGACTTTTTTTCATTTTTACATATTTCAGTGTTTCTTTGGTTTTTTTTCTTGTTTATTATTTCTATTTTGTGTGTGTATAATGTTCCGAGGACAATATGGTACTCTAGTACATCAACATATGCACCATTCATGTAAATATAATTTTATGCAGAGACCTATTTCGTAAATTAAAGGGACAATTCTTGTAATTTATTTTCTATGTAGTGACCAAACATGTCAAACCTACATACATGTCAATATACTAAATGTAAATGAGTGGAACTTGTTGTCTAAATTGAAGGGATAAAACTAACATTTTACAAAATACGGGGAATGAAAAGTGACATTTAACAAAGTAACGACATGGGAAATGTGAACGTAGAATAATATAGGGACCAAATCTACCAACATGAAAAAGTCTTACGGCCAAAGTCTAAAATAAGATAGTTTTATGGCCAAAATGTAAAACCATAACA